CTGGGAAGGAGGGGTGCCCCCCGAATATGGTGTCCGCGGTTCTCAGGCCTCCATCGTTGTAGCTGTAGCCATAGCCGCGCTGTCAGGTCTTGGGTGTAAGGTGGTGGAATTGGGGTGAGAGGGAAATGGTTAAGGGGAAGCACTGAAGGGGAGCTTTCAGCAAAGACAGTCAGTATAGGAGGGGAGGAGGTACAGTGACACACAGGGGGCATGAACTAAGATCTATGTCCCAGAGACTAGGGTGACAGTTCTCCACAAGCCAGGCATGGTGACGTGGTCCTGCAACCCCAGCCTGGCTACACAGCTCAATGGAACCGTCTCGTAAACACTTGGAGGTGGAGAGGGAAAGAGAAGAGACCAAAGCACCATAGGATACACTGAATATAAAGTCAGGAGTTCAAGCCGGGCAGTGGTGGCACACACCTTTAATTCCACACTCAGGAGGATCTCTGAGTTCGAGGGCAGCCTGGTCTATAGAGTGAGTTCCAGGACAGCCAGAGGTTCACAGAGAAAACCTACCTCTTCTTAAAAAAAAAAAATACATGGATCTAATCTACATGGGAAATAGAAAAAGACAAGATCTCCTGAGTAAATTGGGAGCATGAGGGCCTTGGGAGAAGGTTGAAGGGGAAGGGGGAGAAAGGGAGGGCATCAGAGAAAAATGTAGAGCTCAATAAAAATCAATAAAAAAAAGTTAAAAAAATCAGGAGTTCAAAGTTCACATCCCAGAGATGACAGAATGGGTCTCACCTCACGGCAGAACACTTCCTGGATATCCAGGGCTACACTTAAGCGCCTTCAGAGGTCTACAGTGGTGAGGTAAGTGTGAGGGGCTGCCCTGTGCCCGCATGATGTCAAGTGGAAGGGCCAGGGGCTCACACATAAACAGAGGAGAATGCCGCACTGAAGCGGGGCGAGACGTGTGTGTGTGTGTGTGTGTGTGTGTGTGTGTGTGTGTGTGAGCCAGGAAGTGGCAGAGGTGCCAGGGTGCTGTGCAGTGAGGCGGGTGAGGGCATGGGTCTCAGAAAAGGGGAAGGGACGGGGAGGACTCTGAAGGTAAAGGGAGCCCAGAGGAGACCCTGGTGCAGCCGGAGCCGGTTCCAGAGTGGATGTGCCAGAGCGGCTGGGGTTTGTTCACAGATGGAGGGAGTTGCCCATAGACCAGAGACAGGGAGACACTCTTCCTTGTGCTGTCTCCCTACCTCTTCTCCCACCCCCAGGTGTCCCCAGCACTTACCCTTGATGGCCCATACTCCCTGGGGACTCAGGAAGCATATCAGGGTGTGGAATGCCAGGACCAGCTCCACAGGGAGGACCATGGCTGAGGGGGTGGGGCACTTTAACAACCTTTGTTTGGGAAGCGAGGGAGCAAGATGGAGGTAAAGAGGAACGGATCTAGGTTAGGGGAAGACCCTTGCTGTAAGCAGCCAATCAGAGCAGTTCTCTGAGTTAACAGGTCTGTTGCTGGGTAGAGAAGCAAAGAGTCTGGGTGACAAGGTGGAGGGTGGAGGCCATGGGTCACCTGTCACTTCATCCTTCAAGAAGGGGCTTCAGGAAGGAGCAGGGAGGTCTCAGAGCACCAAATGGCTGTGCTGGGGACAAAGCCTCCGTGTGGTCTCTGATAGAAGGAACCTGATTTTCCATGTAGATCCCTTGGGACAAATTTGGGGTAAAAATAAGAACTAAAATGCCCGAAGAAACTTAAAAGGGAAATCTCTGGATAAAACAAACCATAGAATAAAAACCCTTTAAATCTGTAAAAAACATTTTCAAAACTATTATTTTATTTTATCCTGTAAGGAAGGATGTGCAATGGTTGGAGCTGCTTTCCTGAAGAAAAGCTACAGGCAGTTCCCACAACCAATGGGAGGCGAGCAGAGGGCACAGGTGGTCTCCGTTTGTCCCTCCTGGTCCCCAAGCACCCTCTTTCATGCTGGCCAGCCTCCAAATCATGACAGAGAGATTTATTATTAATTGTGAATGCTTGGTCTTAGCTAAGGCTTGTTTCTAGCTAGCTTTTTAAAGCTTTAACGCATTTCTATTCATCTGTGTTGCTCCAAGGCTCATTTACCTCATCCACATTCCGTCCATCCCACTTTCCGCTTCCTCTGTGTCTGGCTGGCCCCCAGCTGGCTGACTGGCTTGCCTTTCCTTCCACCTGCCAGCCCCACCTCTCCCTCCTATGCCCAGTTATTGGCTGACCAATCAGATGCTTTAGGCAGGCAAAGTGAAACAGCAACACATCTTTCTTCCCATAGTTAATCAAATGCAGCACAAATAAATGAACACATCTTTCCATAGTTAAACAAACACTCTATTGCACAGCAGGCCAGAGACTGGCTGGTGTGCACGTCGTGCCCCTGACTTTTCCTTTTGTTGGGTTGTGCCAATGGCTGGCGCTGGAAGGGACTCAATCAATACAGAAAATAGAGAGATATTGAGCCTAGAACTCTGGAGACAGAGACAGGTGGGTCTCTGTGTGTCTGAAGACAGCCTACTCTACAGAGTGTGTTCCAGCTCAGCCAGGGCTACATAGACCTTATCTCAAAAAGAGAAAGGAAATAAAAATGGATAACCATCTATCCAGCTAAAGAGAACTCTTCTGAAAGTCTTTGCCAAAGATGCTGAAATAAATGATTGTCGCTTGGCCGCACGCATCTGAGAAGTCTCATAGATCTTCAGTTCCAAAGAGCCACCCGCGGGGTTTGTAACAAACTCACATTTCTGGTGCTGGGCAGGTGCCTCTGTGGGCAGAGTTTGCCACACAAGCATGAAAACCTGAGTTTGGATTCCCAGGACACATAAACACCCAGACATGGTGGAGCATGTCTGTAACATGTCCCTGGGAAGGCAAAGCCTGGCAGATTCATGAAATTTGTTGACCATTCAGTCTGGTCACACAGGTCAGCTCCAGGTTCAGTGAGAGACCCCATCTCAAAAAGTAAGGTGGAGTGTCTTGGGTAGGGCTTCTATTGCTGCGATGAAACACCTTGACCAGAAAGCAAGTTGGGGAGGAAAGGGATTATTAGGTTTACACTTCAGCATTGCTGTTCATCACTGAAAGAAGTCAGGACAGGAACTCAAACAGAGCAGGATCCTGGAGGCAGGAGCTGAGGCAGAGGCCATGGAGGGTGCTGCTTACTGGCTTGCTCTCCATGGCTTGCTCAGCCTGCTTATAGAACCCTGGACCAGCAGCCCAGGGATGGCACCTCCCACCATGCACTGGGCCCTCCCGAACTGATCACTAACGGAGAAAATGCCTACCAGCTGGATCTCATGGAGACATTTCCTCGGCGGAGACACCTTCCTCTGATGACTCCAGCTTGTGTCAAGCTGACACATAAAGCCAGCACTACCCAGAGGTAGGCTGGGAAATGACTCAGCAGGTGAGAGAACACCTTGCTCTGCCTTAGAACCAGAGTTTGGACACCAGCATCCACATGAGACTGCTCGCCACACCCATAACTACAGCTCCAGGGGGAGCCGACGCCTCTAGTCTCGGTGGGCACCGGAGAGCACACATTGACACTCAGAGACACACGCACACATGCATAATAAAAATAAAATAAATCAGGGTTGGAGAGATGGCTCCGTGGTTAAGAGCACTAGCTGCCCTTCCAGAGGACTTAGTTTCAATTCCCAGCATTCACATGGCAGCTTACGAATGTCTGTAACTTCATTTTTAGGGAGCCTGAGACCCTCACACAGGCATACATGCAGGCAAAATACCAAAGCACATAAAATAAAAATAAGTAAATAAATAAGTAAGTAAATAGATAGATAGATAGATAGATAGATAGATAGAAATAAATTATCTTTAAAATGAAAGAAATGAGATGGAACACGAACAAGAAGATACCTCTGGCCTCCACACACATGAGCACACTCATGCACACATGTCACACACACATCCACCCACAAACACACACCACAAACACACATGTACACACACACCGTATGTAGATAAAGAGTGCAATGTAAGTGTCTCCCGGGTGCAATGTGGTGTGTGTACAATAGACTATCACACAGCCACAAGTGACAACTGAAATCCATATGCGGCACGTGGTGAGCAGGTGTGACATGGGAAGACAATGTCACAAGTCCTCACACGTGGACACTAAGTTGGGGAGACAGAACAATGATGGTGTCTGGAGAGAGAGTCTGGAAAGAGATGGCTGACCAGTGATTGTGTTCGTTCCCGGCTGCCCAGACTCGAAATAACCACTCAGAAACTGTATTATTTAAATCACTGCTTGGCCAATCACTTAAGTGTATTGCTAGCTAGCTCCTATATCTTTGATTAACCCATTTCCATTATTTTATTTATTACCATGTGAATGTGACCTACCAGCAAGGTTATGGCTGGCGGCTCACGTCTTTCCCCTCTGGCAGCTCCAGGGTGTGTCCGCGACTCTGCCTACTCTCTCTCTATATCTCTTCCAGTCTAGCCATATTCTGCTAAACCACTGGCCAAAAGCAGCTTCTTTATTCATTAACCAATAAAAGCAACACATAAACAGAAGGACTTCCCACACCAAGGGAAGGCGTCAGGGGCTGGGGGGAGAGAGAGGGTCTGGAGAGAGGATGGCTAGCCGGCTGACCACAATTGACTGTCTCAGAACAGTGGGGGGGGGAAGGTTTTGAATGTTCCCGACAGAGAGAATTGACAGTTGATCGTGATGATGGGTGACAATTTACTGATTCAGCATGACACATTGTACACACACAACAAGCTATCTCATCACACTCATAGAGATGTCCAGCTATGTGTTACTGAAACCAGTTTCTGTCAAAGGTCCCACATCAGAGTCTGGAGAGACGACCCAGAGGTTCAGAGCACCGGCTGGTCTTGCGGAGGACTCAGGTCTAGTTCCAGCACCCACGGAGTGAGTGTGGATTCTTCCAGTTTGCATGTCCAGTTATAAGTAAAAATGGTAGAATTTGTAAGTACCCATGAGATACCATCTTAATTTTAACTAATGTATTAGAAGAAACGAAAGTTTACCAAAAGGCATTTTATTACAGTCAAACCAGAGGCAGGGCCAATCTCTTCCCTCAGGGGCTCAAACAATGCCGGCAAACACTGTAGCCCTCAAACTACATCCAAACGAATATTCATCCCAGTTCACTGTTGTCCCCTCTCCAGGGCCAATCCGAACTCTCAGACTCTCCCTGAAAGTGAGGTCAGAACCCTTGGTAACTGCTCCCATGGTGTCACTTGAAGTCACACTGTTAGGAGGCATTCGACATAAGTGGCCTGTTCCATCCAGCAAGGCTGAGTCTCCCAGCTCAGAAACAGGAAAGGTTGTTCTTAGGAATTCTCTGGAAGGAGACAGCAAAGTGATCATGCAGGAACCCAGAGCTGTGGAGCCCAGGAAAGGGTGTCCAGGCCGGAGCTGTGGAGCCCAGGGAAGGGTGTCCAGACTGGAGCTGTGGAGTCCGGGGAAGGGTGTCCAGGCCGGAGCTGTGGAGCCCAGGGAAGGGTGTCCAATCTGATGAGAAACACAGCAACTCCTGCTTGCTACCTTTGCTTTGCTGACAGCAATACCAAGGGCATACATAGCACTTTAAGGTCAGCAAGTCGTTCAGAGAGGCAAAGCCCTCTGAGAGTTCAAAGCCAGCTGGGGACATAGAGAGTTCCAGAGAGTTCCAGGACAGCTGGGGCTACATCACAACTGAGGACAGAGGCAGAGACAAGGTCAGGGCACCTTCCCAAGGCCGTGTTCTTTTCAGAAAGTGATCACCTGCAGCGAGACACAGTCACCGTCAACCTCAGGTTCAGGAGGGGGTCTGGGATCCCACCTGCCTTCCCTTTCTCTTTCCCTGTGGCTCCCTGTCCCAGTTCCTCAGCCCTGCTTCCCACGAGGCTTCACTGTAGCCTTGCTCACGTTTGTGTGATGTCCTTTTCTACCACGGTGGCAGCTATGATGCTGTCTCCTAATGGTGGTGCCACAGAACACCCTTATCCTTGTACAGCCTGTAGCCAGCTTCTAGCCTTTGACAAGTGAGGCTCTGGGCAAATCAGTGGTGGATTAAATTACTAAATGCCAGGATATGTGCTAACCTCTACAGATAAAAATCATGAAGAAGGGGCTCCTAACCAGGTGTGGAGGTGCAGGGCTTTGATCCCAGTGTAAGAAGGGAGGGAGGAACCTGCAGACCGCCTGTGTGGCCTTGGCGAAGGTGCTTAAAGCTCTTGTGCACAAAGATGCCGTAAGCATCTCTCAAGCATCAAACCGCAGTGGCATTAGCACCCTCATATGGAGGATGCATAACACTCAGGGCAGGGCCCGAGCCTTGGGTTCTCAGGGTTGTCAGTGATGTCTCACATAGCTCTGCTCTGAACACCAGAGAGAGATCTGTGTCTGCTTCATCGGTGTGGATGTTCCCTCCTTTCCGCACAGAGGCGTAGACTCCCTCCGACTCCACCCTAACTTCCCACCTCCACGGCTGCTCACAGGGGTCCTTGGATCAGGGAACTGTGGCCGGAGTGCCGAGCTCTTACGATGAACACACTGCCGATGACGACGCCCACCAGGCCCACCACCAGGCCCAGCGCACAGACCACAGTCTCCATGGTCTCGGCCGCCTGGGGCGGCTCCTGCATTTCTGTGGGAAATGAAGAGATGCAGTTAGCACAGTGGGTTGCTGGCCGCGATATCCCGGGAGCAGAGGCATGTTGGGGCGGTGAGGGGGAGGGAGTTCTGCTCACCCCAGTGAGTGAGGCTCGGCTGGTCCAGGCCCCAGTGCTCCACCCTGCAGTCATACACGTCCTCGGCCATGGGCACGAAGGTCAGGTAGTGGAACTTGTGAAATCTGAGCTCTGTGCTGGGCAGAAAGACGGTCTCCGAAGTCCCTTCAGTGACCAGCTTCCCGTTACGAAGCCATGTGACGTTGAGCACTGGGGGAAAGAACCTATCGATGTGGCAGATGAGGACGTTGGGCTGACCCGGCTCCACTGGGCTCTTGGGGAACACGGTCACCTCGGGAGGCTCTAGGAAGAGGCAGGACCTGGTGAGGGTCGGATAGTCACCGAGTTCCCACCTGGCGTCTTCTGCTGCAGGTTCAATTCACAGCACCTTTGGGGTCCAGAGAGAGAGCTGGAGACTCCTTCCACTGAGCCAACACCAGTCCCTGACTTACAGTAGAGGATCAGCAAAGGGAGTTAGGGGCTCCCATTCTGAGTGTGGGCCGGGGACCCTCCCACCCTTCCCACCGGGTGGCAGAGGAAAAGGCGAGAGAACCCGCACCACTGGGGACCTGGGTGATGTTGTGTCTCTGGATCAAGGCTCTCAGGTTGCTCTTCAGGCGGGCAATGTAGGGCAGAGCCCCCTGGGCGTCAAAGCCGTAGACCGTGCCGAACTCTGGCAGGCCCCAGACCGTTTCCTCCCTGTCAAGATCCACGTAGAATTGCTCATCACCGTCAAACTCGTACAAGCAGTCACCCGACGGCGTTTGCGTCTGTGCAAATATGTCATACATGGCTACATGGTCCGCTGTTCAAACAAGATGCAGAAGAATGGACAAACGTAAGAACTATTGTGTGGTGCTGAGGCAGGGGGATGGCTGGATTTATTCATAAGTCAGAAAAGGCTGACAGAGGGAAATGGGGGGAGAAGGAGCAACAGAAAACAGCAGGTGGGGGAGGAGGGCTACAGGGGAGAGGAGGCTAGAGAGACTGTCCCTGCTTACTGCTAGGCAGAACCCCGTGATTCTGCAGGGGTCCTGGGAACTCACTGAGCACTGAGCGCCAGGCATTTGCTAGTAGGCTATGTCTTTGACTCATGTGGATGTTACAACTCCCCTAGAAGTAACCAAGGAAACTCAGAGAGAGTAAGTAACTTGTATCAGGTCACACAGTGAAGCGAAACTAGGAGAAAGAGATGTGAAATTAGGTTTGAACTGACGGAGATGGAGGGACAGGAGGGCGGAAAATTGAAAGTTGAGGGGAAAGCTCACTGAGCTGTAGGGCTCCTTATGGTCGCTGGGTTTCTGTTTCAGTTTTTAAGCCCACACCTGCAGTGCGTGCTGGTATCAAGACTTCGTTATTTTTATCTTGAGCATCTTGAGGATGGATTTTGACAATGGTTTCAAACTTTATTTTTAATACATTTTTAAACATTTTTGGTTTTGTTTTAAATGGAATTATAGAAGTTGTTGAATTTGAAATCCCTGTGTGGTTTGATCTTTTGTTTCTTAGTCTTGATTAGTTTGTTAGAAACCGCAAACACAAGACAAGCTATCGTTTGCAACAATGTGATAAACATGTGAGCGCTGGGAACTTGGAGTGGCTGGGAAAGAGTCGGGAGTGGGGAGGGCTGGGCGCCCCTCCTCTTCCCTGGGATCCCCAGCCGGCAGGTGGGAGTGTCTCTGCTTGGACTGTATAGCAGCAGCAAGATGTTCCCTCGGAAGGATTTCAGGTTCCTCGTGAACCAGAGGAATCTTCTTTATAAAACAGGTGGAAAAGGAGATTAAAAACCTTTAAAGCACCATTTAAAACTGGCTCATGCCAGGCAGTGGTGGTGCACGCCTTTTAAGCCCAGAACTGGGGAGGCAGAGGCAGGCGGATCTCTGTGAGTCTGGGGCTAGTGTGGTCTACAGATTGAGATCCAGGACTGTTACACAGAGAAACTTTGTTTCCAAAAATAAAACAAAGCAAAGAAAAAAAAAAGATAATTGGGAATTGGGGCTGGAGAAACGGCTCAGCAATTAAGAGCTCTTCCCAAGGACCTGGGTTCAATTCCCAGTATCCACATGGCAGCTCACAACTGTCTATAACTCCTGTTCCAGGGGGTCTGACACCTTCACACATACATGCATGAGGGCAAAACACCAATGTACATAAAATACAAATAAATAAATAAATTTTAAAAACTGGCTTATACTTTTTAAACATTCTCACAGATTCTGAGTTCTAAACGATCAGTCAGACATGAAACAATTTATTTTCCTTCGAAAGTCACTTTCATGCACGTCTAGTGTCACAGGCCTGCAATCCCAGCCACAGCTGAGGCAGGAGAATTTCAGTTTCAAGGCCAGTCTGGACAATTTAGTTCCGAATTATCTCAAAAGAAAAAGTACAAAAAGCTGGAGGAACCTCAGACAATTTAGAGGTGGGGTACTTAACCAACATTCGTGGGGCTCAGTCCTCAGTACTTCTCACACTAAGAAATCACCACCATCCAGAAAAAAAAAAATATGCTAAAAACCTACGAACTACAAGCCAAGGTGTGGTAGCTCAGGCTTGCAAGCCCAGCATTTGGGAGGCTGAGGCAAGAGGATAGCCCACAAGTTCAAAGTCATCCTGAGCCACAGAGTGAGACCCTATCTCAACACCACACACACACACACACACACACACACACAGAGAGAGAGAGAGAGAGAGAGAGAGAGAGAGAGAGAGAGAATTTAAACAACAATGTGGCCTGGTTCCTGGCAATTTTTAATTGGTAGTTCATGTTTGTTTGTTTTTAATTTTTTGTGACAGGGTTTTCTGCCACAGCCCTGACTGACCTGGAATGTGACAATTCTGTCTCTTTATAGACCAGGCTGACCTCGAACTCACAGAGATCCACCTGCCTCTGCCTCCTGAGTGCTGGGATTAAAGGTGTGCGCCACCACTGCCCAGCACCTGCACATGGTGCACCTCCACACCTGGTGCACCTCCACACCTGGTGCATTTCCACACCTGATGCACACCTACACACCTGGCATACCCCCACACCTGGTGCACCCCTACACCTGGAGCACCACAATACCTGGTGCACTCCTGCACCTGGCCTGTGCTGTGGATTCTAGCCCTCCCCTCCTCTGCATCTTTGGATGACATCATGCATGGGCTTGGTGCTTCCTGGAACCAACAGGGGGCGACAGAGCACATCATGGTTTATAATCTCTAGCCAGGTCTTTGTGGCCCTTAAGTCCACATTTCTCGGTGTAGGAAGACCTTCCTGACTCACTAGGACCTGACTCACAAGACTAACGAAATTGTGCCGCTCTACTCCCCTGAGAGAAGAAGGCAAGGACTGCCCCAGTGATCCTAGGAAGGTGGAAAGACCCTGGGAGGCAGGGAGGAATGTTCTGCTCAGTTCCGCACTTGGCGTCCATACCTGTGAAGGCAGTCACACAAAGTGGGCTTTGAGGACCTGGGCTGTGGGATCCGGGCCGGGTTCAGCTATAAAGTCCCTGTGCTCAGAGTCAGTGTGTCGTCAGAGTTGTGTGTGGACTTTAACCTTGACCCCTGACTGAGGGAACAGCTTTGGAAGCTGTTTTAATCTTTTTAGCTTCAGTTTTTTTCATGTCTCAGAGAAAGGCTAAAGTATTTTTATAGATGGTTTCTGTGAGGTGCAAATAGTGATGTGGCTGCTTTGTCTTATCCGTTTATTTTTATTTTATGTATGTTGAATGTTTGCCTGCATAAATATAAGTGCAGCACGTGTGTGCAGGTCCTACAGAGGCCAGAAGAGGACACCAGTCCCCCTGGAACTGGAGTTACAGATGTTTGTGAGCTGCCATGTAGGTACTGGGAGCTGAACCCAGACCCTCTGGAAGAGCAGTCCACACTGTTAACCACTGAGCCCCTATCCAGCCCCGCCCACTGAGCCTCTCTCCAGCCCCGCCCACTGAGCCTCTCTCCAGCCCCGCCCACTGAACCTCTCTCCAGCCCAGCTGCCTTGGTTTCCCTGATTACTAGAGCAGGATGAAACCAAGTGAACATCACGTAAGGAAATGAGGAAAGGAGAGACATGAGAGAGATGGATGAATCCTGCAAGCTCTCCCATTCTAAAGAGGGTTAACAGTGTCTATTCCAACCTTGTGCCCCCCACCATTCTTCTGACCTTTGATGACCCAGTTCCCCCTCCCCCTGACCTTTGATGACCCCAGTCCCCCATCCTCTTGACCTTTGATTACCTCAATCCACCATCCTCCTGACCTTTGAGGACCCGAGTCCCCATCCTCCTGACCTTTGATGACCCCAGTTCCCCCACCCTCCTGACCTTTGATGACTCCAGTCCCCCATCCTCCTGACCTTTGATGTCCGCAGATCCTGGGAGACTCAGTAGGAAAGCCAGGAAGGAGGCTCTCAGGACCTCAGCTTTACTCTGGAACATTCTCCCCTCAGAGTACGGGTTGGGGATCTATACTGACAACTGTGATCACAGGACAGTGAAGAGAACTGAGACAGATTGGAGACAGGTGAAACCCTGATACCGGGCGGCTTCCTGTAGCCTGACTACACAGATGAAAAGACAGGGGAAACCAGCGAGGCTGGGTCAGCCAATCAGAGAAGCCGGAGAGTTGACCCGGCTGTTGCTGGGTAAAGGGGGCTGAAGAGGAGGGAGTCTGCTATTAGATACAAAGTCTCCCCAAGTTTCCCACACAACTGTCACCCTCACCACCAGATCACCTCTGATGTTTCCTCCACTGTTTTTCAATATTTTTCATTTTATTTTATGTGTCTGAGTGTTTGGCCCATGTGTATGTCTGGGCACCGCATGCCTGCCTGGTGTCCACAGAGGCCAGAAGAGGGTGCCTGATCCCCTGGAACTGGAGTTACTGACAGCTGTGAGCCGCTATTAGGGTGCTGGGAACCGAACCCAGTATTCTCCACAGGAGCGGCAGGTGCTCACCGCTCAGCCGTCTCTTTAGTCCTCCACCTTATTGCTGAGCGGGCTCCTCACTGAATCTGGAGCTTGTTGGCCGCCTGGACCATGTCCAGCAGGATCTGTCTGCCTTGGCATCCCCGGCGCTGGAATTACACGTGTGGCCAGGATCTGGGCTCAGGTTGTGTGCTTTCGTGGCAAGCTCTTCGCTGACTGAGCCATCCCCCTGGCCCCTCGTGTGACTCGTGACCTCGTGTGACTGCGTTTCCTCAGCGGCAGAAGCTGAGTGTGTGCTGTCTGGTTGCTGCTGCCCACAGCATCGCTTCCTCCGTCTGTCGAGGGGCTGGGGTGGGGCTGACCGAATGATTCCCGTCAGGTCAGGGCGCCCCCTGAATCAACTCTGCTCCACCTCCACAGACACCTGGCATTAGGAGGTCGTCGGGGTCATGTGGCTGCCCTCGATTGGGTGATAAAGAAGCTCACTTGTGAGATCAACGTCATGGAAGCGGTGCGGGACATCCAGTCAGTGCTCCCCCTGCTGGCAGTCAATGGGCGTGGGTCGGCGGTTCCCAACTGGGTGATGCCCTGTGGTCCTGGCTCCATGGAACGCCTTCCCCTTTCTACCCACCTTCCTCCATTCTGAGCTCCTGGGTGTTAAGTGTCTCCCTGTCTATAGCAGATGAGTGGCTAGGAAACTCCAGTCAGGAGCCCCGGGGCCCTAGAGAACTGAGGTTTGGTTTCACAGACGCCACACACCTAATGGAGGCTTTATATTATGTCATTATTTTCTCTTCTTGATGGAGGTCTATATGGTAACATTTTGTTTATATTTTGATATCTATATAAGGAAATGATGCCGACATAATATTTCTTTTCCTTCTTTCTTTTTTCTTTTTTCTTTTTTTTTTTGATTAATTATGTATACAGTGTTTTGCCCACGCTCCAGAAGAGGACACCAGATCTCATTATAGATGGTTGTGAGCCACCATCTGGTTGCTGGGAATTGAACTCAGGACATCTGGAAGAGCATTCAGTGCTCTTAACCTCTGAGCCATCTCTCCAGTCCTGTTTGTTTTTCAAGATAGGGTTTCTCTTTGTAGCTTTGGAACCTATCCTAGAACTCACACTGTAGACCAGGCTGGCCTTGAACTCACAGAGGTCCTCCTGCCTCTGCCTCCCAAGTGTTGGATAATGTTTTCTTTACCTGAATTTGTGGCCTCACAGGATTCAGCTATAAATTATAAAGTTGGGAATGATCCCCTTTGGAAGTTGGTGAAAATATTCATGATCAACACGACATAATCAGATATTTTCAGGAGGTTGGGCTTTGGTAGCTATTATGTCTCTCATCTTGTTTGCCAGTCTGTTCTTATCCCCTCAGGGCTGACTGTCTTGAAGGAGTATGAGCTCTGTTTCTGTCACGTGACCTTCACAATGTCACTGTCAGGCGGTTTATAACATCTGCAGACGTCCAAGTCCCCAATCAAACTCCTTAAAATCACATATTTACACAGTTGTGGGTGTGCCTTACTCCTAGGTTGGGGGACCCTGTAAGGTGTCCTGCTGATCTCCACCCCCCATCGAAGTCCTGGGGAGGTACCCTGGGACTCCTGTACCCTCTAGGACCAACAGACATCTGAGAGAAAGACGATGGGGGTGGGTGGTTCTCCTGAACACACCCCTGGGCAGCGGCAAAGCAGACAGATCCCAGACTCAATCTGAATGCTGGGATGCTGACGGGACACACTATAGAAGTCATGCCAATACATCGCCTTTCACACCCAAAGATGTCGCTTGGTCCATCCCCTGTCCAGTGTGGGTGTAAGAGGCGGTGGGACTGGAGGAACGAGAGTCCCCGAGACGCTGGCTCAGCAGAACATCTCACCATGCTCAGAGCAGAGCTCACATCTTCCCCCAAATCTCGCGATGCACCCAGGTTATCAAAACAAGCGTCACTGTCCTCCGTCCTCTGATGCCCTCTCACCTGCTTCACCCACTAGGTGGTCAGGCCTCTCACGACATCTACCCAGTGACTGGTGACTCATCGGAAGCTCAAGCCTGATTGGTTCTTTCCTCAGACTCTGACTGATTCTGGGGTCACAGCAGACAACTTTAGTCACAGTCTCTACTGTTCACCCGGGAGCCCAACTTAAGGAGTCCTCCATCCCCTGCTACTATTTCCTCCCCTCACCCACCCTTCCAGCTCCACGATGGTCCCGTGGCTCCCTGTGGCCCCCTGGATAGCAGTTTTGACGGTATTGCTGAGCAGAGGGATCCAGGGTGGGGCTCCTCCAGGTAAGACGGAGCACGGCGGTGACTCCGGAGGGCCTGGCTCAGGACTGTCCCCTCATAGGCGTAGGGCTTCTCCTGGCTTCTCCTACAGCCCATGTCCTTCCTTCCCAGCTAGAAAAGCAGGCTCACCTCCCCACAGCTGTTCAGTGTTTCCCACTCCCAGGCACATAGACACAGTGAACCAGGCAGAGGTGTTGGGGGTTGGCATGCCTGTCTTATGGACAACGGGCCCAGAGCTCTAGAATCCATTCACAGGGCAAGGTTTATGGAGAGGCCAGAAGTCTCCGCCTCCTGGGTTCCCCCACACCCCCATCACAGCCTCGAAGGAACTCAGGTCACCTGACTGACTCAGTGTTAAGAGAGAGTGGATGGCTCCTGCTCCTCCGGGAGCCCTTAGACACAATTGCGAGAAGGTGAGGCGGGCTGAGGCTCCGCCCCAATAGTTCTTGTGCAGGCTGACTTCCTGAGACCCTCACTAGTCTTGGAGTGGGCTGAGAACTGTGGAAGGACAAGATGAGGGTAGCAGACACGTGAGAACAACCTAGCGTAGGTGAGCGACCAGCCTGCTAACGGGAGGCCCGTCTCCTGTCCCCTGGCTTGTGTGACGGATGCTGTGGCTGATGGGATCCAGCGTTTCCCAGGAAGATTCTTCCATTTCCAGATTTACACTGAGCACTGTAGGAAGAGCACTAAGCTACCACATCCTAGGATGGATCTCAAATGCAGTGTCTTTGTTTTACCTGTTTTTCTGGAACCCCCTGAGTCCAGCCCTTGAGCCCCAGGGCTCTCCTGAGATATCAGGCACTTGCTGAGGAGGACGAGAGAACCTGTCCTTGTTGGTCACAGAGGCTGTGAGACCCAACTAAGGGACCTGCTCAGCTGTGGAAGCTGCACCTTTAAGGTCCTGGCAGTCAGAGAGTGATGTCACCAAGGGAAAGGGCTTAGCAGCAGGGTCTGAATAAATGACAGCTGGGGAGGGAGACCCTGCACGGCTCAGTTTTATCTGCTTCATGGCTACTTTCCATTTACACTGGTTAAGTACTGCCAAAGAAGACCCACATCCAGAGTGGGGCAGGCAGACTTTGAGCGGCAGGTGGCTGGGGAGGGGGAGAGTGGTGGACCCCGGCTCTGGGCTGAGTGAGAGACGCCTACCATGGAGGCAGGTCAGGACTTCTGAACAGAGTGTGGGTCTGGCTCTTACAATGCCCTTAGATTTTCCCACCCTTCCCTCTGTCCTCTGGCCCAGCTGGGCAGGTCCTTCTGAGCTCATCAGGATGAGCCAGTTGTTCTGGCGTTGCTATAGTGACAGGGAACACCAGAACATCCCATAGTCGTCTCTCCCTGCACCTGCACTCCGGGCTTGTTTGCTCTTGACCTCACGGGGCTTCCCAGTGTCTGTAGCAACAGCAAACAGTGCTGATTTGTCTGGATTCTGGGTTCCTGTCTTTGGCTTTAGCCCCCTTTCAGGTCATCTCTGTCACCCCGACCAGGATAGAAAAAAGTCAATTAATTAACAAGCATCTTATGTCAAATGTATTGTCCATCCCGCCAGTGTGTTAATCATGCAGCTCAGAAGCTGTGGGATGGAGCAGACTTGGCCTTTAACTTCTGGCA